AACAGACGCCTCACAGGTCCTCAACTGGCAGCTTCATTAAATAGTACCCGCAAAACACCAGTCTCAACGTCAACAGTGAAGAGGCGACTCCGGGATGCTGACCTTCTAGGCAGAGTTGCAAAGAAAAAGCCATATCTCAGACTGGCCAATAAAAAGAAAAGATTAAGATGGGCAAAAGAACACAGATAGATTGGAAAAAAGTGTTATGGACAGACAAATCGAAGTTTGAGGTGTTCGGATCACAAAGAAGAACATTTGTGAGATGCAGACCAAATGAAAAGATGCTGGAGGAGTGCTTGATGCCATCTGTCAAGCATGGTGGAGGCAATGTGATGGTCTGGGGGTGCTTTGGTGGTGGTAAAGTGGGAGATTTGTACAGGGTAAAAGGGATCTTGAAGAAGGAAGGCCATCGCTCCATTTTGCAACGCCATGCCATACCCTGTTGACGGCGCTTGATTGGAGCCAATTTCCTACTACAGCAGGACAATGACCCAAAGCACAGCTCCAAACTATGCAAGAACTATTTAGGGACGAAGCAGTCAGCTGGTATTCTGTCTATAATGTAGTGGCCAGCACAGTCACCGGATCTCAACCCTATTGAGCTATTGTGGGAGCAGCTTGACCGTATGGTACGTAAGAAGTGCCCATCAAGCCAATCCAACTTGTGGGAGGTGCTTCAGGAAGCATGGGGTGAAATCTCTTCAGATTACCTCCACAAATTGACAACTAGAATGCCATAGGTCTGCAAGGCTGTAATTACTGCAAATGGAGGATTCTTTGACGAAAGCAAAGTTTGAAGGACACAATTATTATTTCAATTAAAAATCATTCTTTCTAACCTTGTCAATGACTACATTTCCTATTAACTTTGCTATATTTCCTATTCAAACTCATTTCATATATGTTTTCATGGAAAACAAGGACATTTCCTAGTGACCCCAAACCTTTGAACGGTAGTGTATATTTTTTTTAAATTCCAGCCCCCGTCCCCCAGGAGGCCTTTTGCCTTTTGGTAGCCGTCATTGTAAATAAGAATTTGTTCTTAACTGACTTGCCTGGTTAAAGAAAAAGTTAAATAAAAAATATAAATAAATGGCTACAGCCCATACCAACTAGAGTTCGGGCAGAACCCTAATCTTCCCTCTGTACTGGTTGACAAGCCACCAGCACTAGAAGGGACCAGTGTGAGTGCATGGGTGGGACAGCACCTTTCAGCACTACATGCAGCGAGAAAAGCGTTCACTGAAGCAGAGAGTTCAGAGACAATTCACAGGGCTCTGCGTAAACAGCTTCGACCCACAGATGAGAAGTACGAGACTGGAAACAAAGTGTACTACAAGAGTTGACTGTCAAGAGTGGAAAGGACCGGGAGTAGTCATTGGCCAAGATGGTGTGGTGATATTTGTGAGGCACGGAGGCACCATTGTCAGGGTGCCTCACTCAAGATTGCGGAAAGTAAATGACGTGTATATTTTGGTGTCCGAATGAAATATTTTCCAATATCAACAACCAATTTATACACATTTTATGTTATGTAACTATGCCCTTTCTCTTTTTTTGAGTCCTAAAAGAGTTAATGGTTAAATGTGAAAGAAAACCTGTTACTTTCGGTGCTCTAAAGTTAAAAATGTGTCCAAAGACAAAAGCAATCTATATAAATGTTAATAAAACATCTCAAATCATAACAAAACTGTCAAACGATTATTCTGGCATGTTTTTTTAAGGGTCTATTGCACTATACGTCTGTATGGGTAAGACAGTTTAGGCAGAAAGGTTTTAAATACTTTAATACTTTTGTCCGGAAAAATAGCCTTCATGATTATAATTCGGTGCAACTGACATAAAGTCACCATTTTGGATCAAATCTCATGGTACTCATGTGACATCATTAAGATCCCTATAAGATACCCTTTAGTTAAGAATAAAGGTTAGCAAGTCTCTCGTAAATCTTTGATAAGTTTACATTTCCACTCCCTGTCAGGTTTTACCCCAAACATCTGATCATTCGGTGCGACCGCTAAAAAACTATTAAAATGTTGAATTATCTGAAAAGCGTATATTTTATTTCGATAATCAAGATGCATCCTTGATGTCAAAGTCAAGTGTTCACATGGGTGCATAAGCAGTTGCCTCTAAAACATGTTTATGTGAGAAAAGTCATACGGTGTAACCAAAATGAACATTCGGAGTGACCAGAAATTCCGGTTATACCATGACTAAACGGCTGTACTGAATTTTTGTCTTTGTATTAAGTTGTCTATTAATCTGTACATCGTTTTTGTACACACAAATGCATCATATCTCCTTTTAAGTAAAAACACAAGTGTTTGTAGGGTAAGGGTGTTATGTCAGTTTTTTTTGTTTTATAGTATAGCACATCAAGCAGCTAATACTGAAAATATGTTTACGTAAATAACTACTATCTATTAATCTATCTTAATTGAGGGTCAATTTGCAGATTCCTTTATCAAGCAAATTCCTTTATCATCAGGACACATTACTGCTGACTCAGTTGCAAATTGACCACAGAAATCCAGGCGTTCCACTTGGGGGAGTAGACAGCAGGCTACGATCCATACAAGTGGTGTGTACACATCAGAGGGAAGCCAGTCCTACGCCACCATATCTGACTCCCTTAGACATGATGAGAGAGCAGTATGGGCTCACCTGGAGCCTGTCCTAGGAGATGTCAAGAACAAGAATCCCAAATCATGACACTCCACACGATGAGCGATGGTCCCGTCACCCAATACAGAAACAAGAAGAACATGTACCTACTCAGCACTCTGACATACAGTACCAGTCAAAAGTTTGGACACACCTACTCATTCCAGGATCTTTCTTTATTTTTACTATTTTCTACATTGTAGAATAATAGTGAAGACATCAAAACTATGAAATAACACATATTGAATCATGCAGTAACCAAAAAATGGTTAAACAAATCAAAATATGTTATATTTGAGATTCTTCAAAGTAGCCATCCTTTGCCTTGATGACAGCTTTGCACACTCTTGGCATTCTCTCAACCAGCTTCATGAGGTAGTCACCTGGAATGCATTTCAATTAACAGGTGTGCCTTCTTAAAAGTTAATTTGTGGAATTTCTTTCCTTCTTAATGTGTTTGAGCCAATCAGTTGTGTTGTGACAAGGTAGGGGGGTATACAGAAGATTGCCCTATTTGGTAAAAGATCAAGTCCATATTATGGCAAGAACAGCTCAAATAAGCAAAGAGAAACGACAGTCCATCATTACTTCAAGACTCGAAGGTGAGTCAATACAGAAAATGTCAAGCACTTTGAAAGTTTCTTCAAGTGCAGTCGCAAACACCATCAAGCACTATGATGAAACTGGCTCTCATGAGGACCGCCACAGGAAAGGAAGACCCAGAGTTACCTCTGCTGCAGAGGTTAAGTTCAATAGAGTTACCAGCCTCAGAAATTGCAGCCCAAATAAATGCTTCACAGAGTTCAAGTCACAGACACATCTCAACATCAACTGTTCAGAGGAGACTGCATGAATCAGGCCTTCATGGTCAAATTGCTGCAAAGAAACCATTACTAAAGGACACCAATAAGAAGAAGAGACTTGCTTGGGCCAAGAAACACGAGCAATGGACATTAGACCGGTGGAAATCTGTCCTTTGGTCTGATGAGTCCAAATTTGAGATTTTTGGTTCTAACCGCCGTGTCTTTGTGAGAAGCAGAGTAGGTGAACGGATGATCTCCGCATATGTGGTTCCCACCATGAAGCATGGAGGAGGTGGTGTGATGGTGCTTTGCTGGTGACACTGTTGGTGATTTATTTAGAATTCAAGGCACACTTAACCAGCATGGCTACCACAGCATTCTGCAGCAATACGCCATCCCATCTGGTTTGCGCTTAGTGGGACTATCATTTGTTTTTCAACAGGACAATGACCCAACACACTGTGTAAGGGCTACTTGACCAAGAAGGAGAGTGATGGAGTGCTGCATCAGATGACCTGGCCTCCACAATCACCTGACCTCAACCCAATTGAGATGGTTTGGGATGAGTCGGACCGCAGAGTGAAGGAAAAGCAGCCAACAAGTGCTCAGCATATGTGCGAACTCCAAGACTGTTGGAAAAGCATTCCAGGTGAAGCTGGTTGAGAGAATGCCAAGAGTGTGCAAAGCTGTCATCAAGGCAAAGGGTGGATACTTTGAAGAATCGAAAATCTAAAATATATTTTGATTTGTTGAACACTTTTGTTTAATACATGATTCCATATGTGTTATTTCATAGTTTTGATGTCTTCACTATTATTCTACAATGTAAAAAAACAGTACAAATAAAGAAAAACCCTTGAATGAGTAGGTGTGTCCAAACTTTTGATTGGCACTGTGTATTCAAACAAATCACCTGGAACCTTTCTGAAAAGGCCCACGGGAAGGGGGCACCAGATGGCGTGGGTGGGGCTGTGAAACGTTGTGCAGACAAACACATTCAACAGGGGGAGGATGTGCAGATTCCCAAGGAACTCTTCGAACTACTCAAAGAGTGGATTGAGCATCAAGTTCTTTTGGATTACAGATGTCACTAAGCACGATGAAGCTGTGCCAAACAACCTTTCTGGAGTCAAAGGAACCATGACATTCCTTTGACTCCAGAAACCATGAAATTGCAATAGATGCAAGACAATTACAGTTGGATAAGACATTACTCTGCCTGCTTGATGTTCTGTTTGGCAATCAAATCCATTTCAACAACATGCATAAACTCTGCAAATGTAAAGCAGTATGAATGTCTAGATTCTACAGAAAACATTACAGTATCCACCCCTAGAGCTAGAGCAACCCTTCTCTATAATACTGTTCATGTAAAATACCACACTGCCTCTGCGCATAGGTGGTTTCAAAACCAGTCTCTCTAGCTGCAAACCAAAACACACAAGAAGCGTTGAAGAGGTTCCTACTAAAACGAAGCATAAAAGAAACCCCATTCAGCAAACCAAAATAAACAGTGTTAAAGGGACAACACTAGTCTAGAGCAGTGCCAGTGCCTACCCGCTCGTCGTTGGAGGCCTTCTCAGGCTCGTCATTGCCCCCTTCCTGCAGGGGCAGCCTGGACAGGGTCAGGCCGTTGAGGGCTGCCACCTTCAGAGGACCCATCTTCTTCAGCTCAGCCCGCTTCTTCATGCCCTGGTGTTACGGAGGACAGGGAGAGAGAGGTAGAGGGGAGAGAGAAAGAGTGAGTGTGGATGAAGCTGACAGTGTAAGTGAGGGAGATGAGGGGGAGGGACAGAGACGACATAGCCTGGTTGTGCCTTCCCGTGGAATGCTACCAGACCAGCTAGCCACATTCCTTTCAGCTACAGGTGCACAAGGTGTCATGGTGAATTGGTCTGCAACACCCAACTGCCCTGAAACTACCCAGAATACCCCTGCATTGGTGGATCAGTGAGTTTAGGAGTGATTATGATGTCACATGTTTAGTCACCTGACCAACAGAGAGTGTTTGTTATTGGTTGAAATGAGCATGGCCCACTCCTGGCCTTTGGGACATTCCACTATGTGTTGTGTGACACTGTGGTGTAAATGATAAGATCATTCAAATGTCAGACATCTTAGCTATGAGGAAAAACTGATTTTAACTGACAAAGAAATTAAGAAGAGTCTCCATGACATGAAGATTGGGTAACAGCTGTTCCTTGAACTATGAAATACACACGGACACCTCTAGTCAAATTTAGTAGTCAAATTTACTTTGAAAAAACTACACTAAAAACACAGACAGCGAGTGAGGCAGTGGAGACTGGACCTACTATGGTGGAACAAAGGATACTATGGCGGAGGAGAGAGTGTAAGACTCACGGCAGGAGGCAGGCCATCAATGGGTTTCTTCCCAGCAGGAATGTTTGACACAGGCCTCTTCTTGATGAAGTCCTTCTTGGCCTTCTGTTTGTTCTGCCCACTAATGTCACCGTCAGACACCGAGGGAAACCATCCTGCCAGGCTGCCCACCCGCCAACAGGTTCACTGGCTCCGCCTCCTGGATCAGTGTGTGCACCTGATACGCCGGGAGGCCTGACAGGACAGGGTCAAGGGAGGAGCTAATGGGATATGCGGGCGGGGGCTCCAGGGGAATCTGGCCCAGATTGGTTAGAAGCTGCTGCAGGTCAGACCCAGACAATAGTGCATCGTAGGATTTGGGGGTATGGCGTCCGCTCTCATCCTCAAACTCCTCCTCCTCGCTGCTGTGCACCAGCATGGTGGCGTCCGACAGGGACTTCTTGTGGCCGTAGCGCACGTCCTCCTTCCCCTCCCCCCCGTCGTCTGACTTGGTCCGCTCCAGGAACACGTTGAGCTGGGAACTTGAGGAGGGACCATGCGGGGCCAGAAGGGGGGTGTCAGCAGCCGAGACAGATACAGTCCTTTCCTTGACCCTCATGCCCTTCAGGCTGTAAGCCAGGCCAGCGATCTCGAGGGAGTTGCGTTTGTGTGCGTTTTGCTGGTGGGGGTCGTTTTGTGGGGGTCCAGCCATGAACAGGGGCTCAGATACCTCCTGCAGGGAGTGGGCTACAGGCAGACTGTCCTCCTGGAAGGTCTGGACAGAGTGGTGCACGCGCCGCGTGATGATCAAGTCCGGGTTGCTACTGCTTACATACAGGTGGCGATACAGGTCTGGCGTGCTGTTAGCGGGCCGCGGGTGGGCATTGTATGGGTAGGGGGGTGGAGGGCGGTACACCTGGGTCCTCATGATGTTGGCTGCAGGGTACTCCTGCGCCTGCTGCAGCTGGACATTGGTCAGCTCGGGCACACTGACCGCCCCCACCACTGGCCTCCTCTCTGTGGGGTAGGGGTACGGGGAGGGGCTGTGGAAGCTGGAGTTGAGGTGGAAGGAGTAGTGGTGGTGCACTCCTCCTCCACCATGCTCTCCTCTGATCTCAGGCTGGCTGTAGACCAGGGGGTCCGGCCTACTGTAGGCGTACGAGTTCCCAATGTGCAGGTTCCTCATGGAGTGGCTCTGGCGGTGCTCGTAGGCCTGCACCATCCCCCCTCCACCTCCCTGGTTCTTCTGCCTCATGACCGTCTCGTAGTCTGGGGTGGTGCGGTAGGAGGGGGGGATGAGGGCACTGTGGCGGTGCGAAGGCACGTAGTCGGGCCGGGTGATGTCACTTCCTGTGATGGAGGGGTTGGAGGACATGGGCGAGGGCTGCATGTAGTGCTGGGGATTGGTGAGGGAGCTGGTGCTGTGGGCACTGTACACGCTGCCGTTACGCAGCCGCACGTTCCCACCGCCACTGTTGCCGAACTCGAGTGGTGAGCAGTCCAGGCTGGTCTGGGAGTGGTAGTAGTAGCCGTTCTGACTGTTCATGTACAGGTTGTCTGAGAGGTAGGACAAAGATAAGACAAAGGTCTTGTTAAAACTACATTATACCCATTCAAATAATCCATCAATCAAAGCATTGTTGCATGACTAAGCTCAAATAAAGATTCCATTTGGGTGCAGCAAACAGTAAGCTGACATTCACCCTCATCTCAGAGTTCATTAACAGGGCTCAGATAGATGCATGATGATGATTAAAAATAGAGATGAAACACCAGTGATCTTGGTAAGGTCAGACCTAACTCTATAGGTACCTTGTGAGGATGTGTAAGGCTCAGTGAAGTGGCCATTGTAGTGCATCTGTGGCGGGGGCATCATGTAGGCCGGGGGCTTTGGCTGCACAGAGGGGGATCAAACAACATGATTCAGTTACTACAGACATGATCTTAATGCAGCCCAACAGCATGGAATTACACACAAATCTAATAGTGTGCTGAAGCACTGGCCAGGGATGTTTGTCATGTGCTGCGTTTCACTGGCCCTAGATTAGAGGGTGAGCGTGTGTGTTTCAGAAAGAAAGTGTGTGTGTGTGTGTGTGTGTTTGTGGTTCACTGCCAGCGTACCAGAGACATCCTGGTGGAGGATTGCCGTCGCACTGGGTTCATAGCAGTAGGCTGGGTTTGGCTGAGAACAGGAACATAAAAACAACAATGAAACAAACAGGTAGTAGAAACAAACAGGCTTTCTTTCAAGTTGAAAGGGACTCAGGGGAAGTAGTTTGAGGGAGGCTGAATAGCTCAGCTCAACTCTTCTCTCTTAAATTAAATCTACCTTCATCGCATTGAAAGACGGGAGCAGTATTCAGGAGAGAACTCATTTTCTTACGTTTTTCTTTCACATACATCATCTCTCCTCACCCAAATACAAAATGTTTCGAAAGTGTTGAGGAGAGGATTGTTGATTATTGGTGCACGTCATTTAAATGTAGCTAGTGTGTTTTGGAGGGCTCTGGTTGGTTTTTAGGAGAGGGTGTTGGCTCTCTGAGGAGACCTGTACTGTAGACGGGTGGCCGCGGACAGCGTTGCTCACCACTTGTTAGAAGGCAGAAAAGGAAAGCGAGGAAAGGAAAGCGTGAGAATGGACTTCTGGGAACCCTCAGAAGGGGGGTCACACTCCTCTCTGGAGAGAGGGGAAGGGACTGGAGTGAGGAGAGCACACACACACGCAAAGAGAGTCCCAAATACACAGGAACTGGGCTAGACTCATTAAGAGACACACTTACAGGCTGCTCTTGTTAATCTTGTAAAACTTGTGCCTGGCCAGACACATCCGGCACACATATTTGGAGGTTTCCATGTCTTCCTTTAGAGGGGAAAGAAAGCATTTACAATGTAAGACATTCAATACACTGGACTGGTGATGGTGCTCCACTTATTCACCAACCCAAATACAACTGCATGGGGCTTTAGCCAGCGGTTGTTGACCCTATACGCATGGGACTTAGTTACCACATACAGTGGCTTGCGAAAGTATTCACCCCCCTTGGCATTTTTCCTATTTTGTTGCCTTACAACCTGGAATTAAAATGGATTTTTGGGGGTTTGTATCATTTGATTCACACAACATGCCTACCACTTTGAAGATGCAAAATATTTTTTGTGAAACAAACAAGAAATAAGACAAAAAAACTGAAAACTTGAGCGTGCATAGCTATTCACCCCCCTAAAGTCAATACTTTGTACCGCCACCTTTTGCAGCAATTACAGCTGCAAGTCTCTTGGGGTATGTCTCTATAAGCTTGCCACATCTAGCCACTGGGATTTTTGCCCATTTTTCAAGGTAAAACTGCTCCAGCTTCTTCAAGTTGGATGGGTTCCGCTGGTGTACAGCAATCTTTAAGTCATACCACAGATTCTCAATTGGATTGAGGTCTGGGCTTTGACTTGGCCATTCCAAGACATTTAAATGTTTCCCCTTAAACCACTCGAGTGTTGCTTTAGCAGTATGCTTAGGGTCATTTTCCTGCTGGAAGGTGAACCTCCGTCCCAGTCTGAAATCTCTGGAAGACTGAAACAGGTTTCCCTCAAGAATTTCCCTGTATTTAGCGCCATCCATCATTCCTTCAATTCTGCCTAGTCTCCCAGTCCCTGCCGATGAAAAACATCCCCACAGCATGATGCTGCCACCACCATGCTTCACTGTGGGGATGGGTGATGAGAGATGTTGGGTTTGCGCCAGACCAGGGGCGGTGTGTTCATTAGGGCGATATGGTCGACGCACTGCCAAACGGGAAAAGGAAGGGATTTTTTTTCTAATCAATTATATAACGGCAACAGTAGTTATCAGTGTTCTAATCTAGACGTCTGATCTGCCACTAAATGTCCAATCAGGCTAAAGTCGTGCTTCAAATGGCCCCGCCCGTTTTGGGGCGATTTCAGTCAGGTTGAAAATCGCCCCAGAAGTCTCTCATCGACTCTCATGTAAAATCTTTTTTTTTTCAAATATCAGAGCTTTCAATACGATCTCTATGGGTTCCGGGAGGGCTTGCACTTACGCGCTTTCGTCATACGTAACATAACCATGAACATAACTAAGAAAAGAGCGGGTAGCAGCGTCAATCAATTCACGTACTACTGTCAAGATGGCTAGCGTTCAGTGCAACTCGATTGTCTCTTTGAAAGAAGTTCCTTTTTGTCGGCGAACAAATCAAGATAAATTGGCAACGAAACAATTAGGACCTCCCAGACCAAATTTAATAATTCAACAGGTTTCTACTAAAGGGGGAAAGTCCTACACCCGAGGATTTTCCAAAAATTGGTACGAACGAAAAACCTGGCTAGCAGGCTGCGATGTAGCTAATGCAGTCTTCTGCTACCCCTGCTTACTATTTCACCCTGAAGGCGGCACGGCAGACAGCACCGCTTGGACAGCGACTGGTGTAACGGACATGCACCATCTTTCAGAAAAGATTAAGAAACATGAGCTGTCAAAGACCCACATGGATATCTGTTTGAGATTGTCTGCTTTGGGGAGAGTGAACATTGCCACTCAACTGGATGAGGGATACAGGCTAGCTGTCCGCCGCCACAACGATGAGGTTAGCAAGAACCGCCACATCCTCAGCCGGCTAATCCAGTGTGTGAAGTTTTGCGGAGTGTTTGAGTTAGCTTTGCGAGGCAAAGATGAAACTGAGGGCTCCACCAACCCTGGTATTTTTCTTGGACTTGTCAACTTTGTGGCACAATTAGATGAGGTGTTTGATGACCATCTTAAAAATGCTAAAGTTTTCAAGGGCACATCAAAGACCATTCAAAACGAGCTACTGGAGTGTATGCTAGCGGTCATGAGGGAACATATTGTGGAGGAGGTGAAGTCGGCGAACTTCGTAGCTATCCAAGCTGACGAGACCACGGACGTTTCTACACAGACACAGCTGGTGCTTGTGCTGAGGTACATAGATAGCAAGAAGATTTATTTATTTTTCCTGGGGCTTTTTCACAAAATCATGCCCCACGTCGACATTCTGTACCAGAAGCTACAGAAGGACATCGATGCTGTCTTCATCAAACGTGCCCTCGACAGCTTCACAAGCAGTGTGCAGGCAATAAGGTAAGATTAAACAATATCATTCGATCTTTCTCAAAGCAGAGCTTTATTTGAAAATGTATGCATGAAAGGAGACATCATCATATTTACAAATCTATACAATTGGCCAGAATATGGTTGTTCATTTTTACAAAGCCATACAGATAGCTGTGTTTACCTTTTCTAGAAATTATTTTCAAATTCTGTTTTCAGGCAAAATGTCTATCACTGTTCATTTTCACAAATCTATACAAGAGGGCAGAATATGGAAGTCTATAAAAATTTCTTATTACCAATAACTTGCATCAATGTTTTCAGTAGCCTCTATCAAAAGCTCCTGCTTGCTTGTTGTGAATTATGCTCAGGTGCACATATTTCCAATTCAACCATGAGGCCTTTTTGAAGCAAGTAATGTGTATATCAGTATTGACTTATATGCTGCCCCTGTCTTCATGTTGTTGCTGGACATATCTTTTTTAAAATGTGTGTAGGTCACCTAAATCATCAGAAAAATTGCCCCCCCTGAGAATTTTTTCAGGAGCCGCCACTGCGCCAGACATAGCGTTTTCCTTGATGGCCAGAAAGCTAAATTTTAGTCTCATCTGACCAGAGTACCTTCTTCCATATGTTTGGGGAGTCTCCCACATGCCTTTTGTCGAACACCAAACGTGTTTGCTTATTTTTTTCTTTAAGCAATGGCTTTTTTCTTGCCACTCTTCCATAAAGCCCAGCTCTGTGGAGTGTACAGCTTAAAGTGGTCCTATGGACAGATACTCCAATCTCCACTGTGGAGCTTTGCAGGTCCTTCAGGGTTATCTTTGGTCTCTTTGTTGCCTCTGATTAATGCCCTCCTTGCTTGGTCCGTGAGTTTTGGTGGGCGGCCCTCTCTTGGCAGGTTTGTTGTGGTGCCATATGCTTTCCATTTTTTAATAATGGATTTAATGGTGCTCCGTGGGATGTTCAAAGTTTCTGATATTTTTTTATAACCCAACCCTGATCTGTACTTCTCCACAACTGACCCTGACCTGTTTGGAGAGCTCCTTGGTCTTCATGGTGCCGCTTGCTTGGTGGTGCCCCTTGCTTAGTGGTGTTGCAGACGCTGGGGCCTTTCAGAACAGGTGTATATATACTGAGATCATGTGACACTTAAATAAAGTCCACCTGTGTGCAATCTAACTAATTATGTGACTTCTGAAGGTAATTGGTTGCACCAGATTTTATTTAGGGGCTTCATAGCATAGGGGGTGAATACATATGCACGCACCACTTTTCCGTTATTTATTTTAAATAATTTTTTGAAACAAGTTATTTTTTTCATTTCACTTCACCAATTTTGACTATTTTGTGTATGTCCATTACATGAAATCCAAATAAAAATCCATTTAAATTACAGGTTGTAATGCAAGAAAATAGGAAAAATGCCAAGGGGGGTGAATACTTTTGCAAGGCACTGTACATGCATGTTTACCTTTAAAAGTCAATACACATTCCCACAGCATGCACTGTGTGAGCAAAGGACCATGTGTTTAATGGGAAGAGGATCATTGCGGTGTGTGGTGGCGGCAGTGGTTTGAGACTCACGGTTTGGAACTGCACGCTCTCCTCTTTGTTGGCCAGCTCCAGGGCAAAGAAGGACTTATTGTGAGTCATGTTGTTAATTTCATTCCACCTACACAGCCAATTAAAACAGAGAGGGGCGAGAGCATGAGGCAGTGGCGTGGCAGTGGTCACATTTAGAACTGGACTCAGTTTCTACAGCCTACTGTGGGCGGGTAGTGACGTTAATAGAAACCATATGAGTCAATAGTAAGAGAAGTGTCTACATTCAACACTATTAGTAGCATTTAAACTAGGATATTCTACACAAAATGAGACTTCCTCTTGGTAAAATTGAAGGTTTGAGTTATTATATAGAGGAGTGTTTCCCCAACTCCAGTACCCCCAACTGCACACATGATTCAAATTGTCAACTAATCATCAACCCCCAATGAGTTGAATCAGGTGAGTTTTTCAGGGCCTACAACAAAAACGTGTGCTGTTGGGGGTACTGGAGTTGGGAAACACTGATAGAGGGTCAGGAGGTTTTCCTGATCATGTGACCTGAGGCCTAGTTTCTCCTTGCCAGGTCACATGGTCAGGAAACCCCCATGGCCCTATTTATAGAACATCACATCTGATCCAAAATAGCCAGAGACCGCCACGCCATATAAGAATAGTAGCTAGCTAGCTGTGGACTGAACCAGACTCAATATGCAGTGTTATTGGATCTAACAGAATTACTGCTACAGGCTTCAGACACACAAATATCAGACAGGCTTTCATTCAGACAGCTCATATTTAGAGGCAGATCATATTGCAGGACTGGGGTATTAGATTTTTTTTTTTTATGCTTCAAAATAAACAATTATTTCCAGCCTTACTTGAATACTAGGGGTGGCCTTCCGTTTTTGTGCTTGACAAAGATGCCGTCCAGACAGGCCCCAAGGAGGATATCAGTGCCTTGGCTGTCCTGTGGGGATGGAAATAGAAAAGAAGACCTATTGCTAATGAAAAAAGTGGACCTCACAGAGCTGTGTTTGTTGTGTGTGTGCTGGGCGGTCTACATTTATCCTTCTATTCATATATTCCAGAAGATCAGCACCAGAATCTGTTGCTTTTTGAACTGAAAAACGATTTGTTTCTTGATCCAGTTCAAATAGAGGTATTGACAGAAAATCATTAGAACTGGAGATCACTGACGACGATGAGACAGCCTATAGGGAGGAGGTCAGAGACCTATGGCTGTGAGACCTCTTCCTCAATGTCAGCAAGACAAAGGAGCTGATTGTGGACTACAGGAAACGGAGGGCCGAGCATGCCCCCATTCACATCGACAGGGCTGTAGTGGAGCAGGTCGAGAGCTTGAAGTTCCTCGGTGTCCACATCACTAAGGACCTATCATGGTCCACACACACCAACACAGTTGTGAAGAGGGCACGACAACGCCTCTTTCCCCTTAGGAGGCTGAAAACATTTGGCAATGGCCCTCAGATCCTCAAAAGGTTCTACAGCTGCACCATTGAGAGCATATTGACTGGCTGCATCAACTCTTGGTATGGCAACTGCTTGGCATCCAACCACAAGGAGCTACAGATAGTGCATATGGCCCAGTACATCACTGGGGCTGAGCTCCCTGCCATCCAGCACTTCTATACCAGGAAGTGTCAGAGGAAGGCCCTAAAAAAGCCAACCAAGTCATAGACTGTTCTCTCTGCTGCCGCACGGCAAGCAGTACCGGAGCGCCTGGGACCAAGTCTGGGACCAAAAGGCTCCTGAAAAACGTCTACCCCTAAGCCATAAGACGGCTGAACAGTTAACCAAGTGGCTACCTGGACTATTTACATTGACGCCCTTTTTTTTGCACCTGCTCTATGCACACTACCCACACACTCACACACTACATTGACACTCCAACACACACTACATGCGCTCACACACATGCATATTGATGCCACACACAGACACACTTTCACATACACTGCTGCTACTCTGTTTATTATCTATCCTGATTGCCCAGTCACTTTTACCCCTACCTACATGTACATATTACCTCAGCTACCTCGTACCCCTGCACATTGACTCGGTAATGGTACTCCTTGCCTCGTTATTGTTCTTTTATTGTGTTACAATTTCCTTTTTTTATTTTGCAAATGTTTCTTTCTTTTTAACTCTGCATTGTTGGGAAAGGGCTCGTAAGTAAGCATTTCAAGGTAAAGTCTAGACCTGTTGTATTCAGCGCATGTGACAAATTTGATTTGATAGAGCAATGGAGTACTGCAGTGAGGCTTTGGGGGAGCAGGTACTGTAGTTTGGTGTAGTTGTGTTCACCTTGGCTGGGGTACTCTCCTGGCCATAGCCCTCCATCTTCTCCACCTCCTGCATGTACAACACCTCAGCCTCTGGGGCAGGCAACCCCCTGAGAGAAACACACACATATGGCAATGTAAGTTAACATAAACCATAGACATGTCCAACGCAGGCAGACACATGGAGACACCAGCATCCATTAACCAGCACAAACAGAGAGTACACAGACACACCTTGGTCACATTCCGAAACAGAATTGATGACATGATCACATCCTTTATCTCAACAAACTGAACTGCTGTCAGTCTAGTTCAACAACCAGCATGATCAGCTGCTGATATGTTCTATCCCCCATCACCTCCATCTTCTGTTCATCTGTCTCACTGCACCTTATTTGACAAACACAAAGCAGTGAAACCATTTCATACAGACCAACATCAACGCAAGCATCAACTCCTCACCTCTCACCTTCAGAACCCACTGACACCTACCTCCCCTGTAGATGGGGCCAAGGTATGAATCTAAACAGCTCTTTCCAGTTACCTATCTATCCAGACAGCCCATATGGGGGATGAGCAGAAGGCTGGAAACATGCAGGTTGGGATGGAGTGATGAAGGAGATGAAAACCAGCTGGCCTTGGACTGGAGGAGTGAGCAGGCTTAGTGCCAGGCCAGCACCAGCTCAGGGCTTTTCATCTATCTACCTGACAGCAAATCACAGCCGAGGACACCTGGACTGCCTGCTAACTGAAAGAAGCAGCATGGACTGCCCAATGCATGGATCCACCTGCAATCAATTAAAGGCACTGTCTATGTAAGCCTCAGGAGATGTGAAGGGAGGGTTCTGTGGAGAATGAAAGGCATATCTTCTTTTCCACAGATGGAAAATCAGGTGGAAGAACATCTGAAGGTTTCTCACCTGTAGTTCTGGTAAAGCAGAGCCACCTTCTGAGTAGCCTCTTCCAGTACTCTCTCATCCTGGATCCAGCCCTGTAAAAGAGATGGGGAAACACAGATTACATTGTGCATTCATGAACATATGACTACATGACGTAAAACATTAACTTTGAGCCGCAAAGTCAAAAATAAAATATTATACAACTGCTTACGATAGGAAACAGCACAAACTTCTGAAGAAACTCCTGCGAATCATAACGATTGAAGTCTCCGAAGTCAGCTGAAACACACAAAATAATAAAATACAATCCTATTGTTTGTACACTGGATGAATACATGTAAATAACAGTACAGTAATGTTTTTCCTAGAAGTGAACAGAAGTGAAAACCTGATTTAAAAACCAGATAGCTTTTCTTTAAATAGGTCAAAGTCCGTAATGTGTCTATTTCTGCAATTAGTGCAAGGCAGACTGAAAGTGTGCATGGATTTTGAGAATGGCGTGATGCTTTTTCGGAGGTTGCAGTATACAATGACAAAGCGGGCTAATTTAAGAAAAGCAGGGAGCCCGTTTGTGATTGCAGGGGGATTGCTTTAGTGTCTGAAACCGTAGTGATCCAACGTTACCAGCAATCTCAGTCTGCCCACCAGCTATGTTCACAGCTATGTTGAGTATGCCAGGCATTAGCCATGCTAGCTAAACAGTTACGTCCCTGCCGGCCAGGCCCCCAACAGCCCTAACCTCAGCAGCTAGGTAAAAATAGTCCATGTCCAACATCTTCCAAGCAAAAACCAAAGCAAACTTTTTTAAGTCAGCAAATTCTTTGGAGGTTTCTCAAAACTTTCAGTATTACTGGGATGCTATTTTGTTCTAGCTTGCTATGCAGGTTGGGCAGCAAAAGTTTGGACCTGGGATGCACTAGTAAGTGATCTCAGTTGCTGTGCTATGTTAACACCCAGGACAGTAACTTGCACTGCCTGATTTAACTTTGCCAGTAGTGTTTGAGATTCTTCTGGCTGGGCAAAAGTGCGAGCCCGGACATGTCAAGCTGGAGACCAGTTTATTGGAGGCCAGTTTATTGGTTGGTTTGGGCTTGATGGTGCTTATTAAGGTTTCTACATTAACAGACTTGTGAAAAGCTCAATAAACCCTAAATAAAGTGCTTGACCAGGCTTTTATAGAAACAAGGTTAGGATAGTAAAAAATTGTATTTCATAAGTACAATGAAATAACAATTATGTTCTCTTGAATATCAACTGAAAATATTCAGGTTTAAAATTCACATTTTCCCCTAGGTATGCTTTGAAATCCCATGATGAGACTCCCGACCGAGTCCTGAGTCTAGATTCAGTAATGATCCTTGAGACCATACTCTTAACGACATCACACCTGCTGCACTGGTGGACCATCAACAGCCTCAGGATCAATAAAACATGAGGTGTGGAATTTACAACAACAGGCCATGACAGCAGTGTGTGTGAGAGTGGTGCCAAAACACCTGCTGTGGCCGCTTATGGCAGGACCTGACCAGTTTGAACAGGTGGTGATCCTCAGTCTTCTATCAGTAGATTAGAGTGTAGATTAGAGTGTACTGAGTTTCACATTCAGAGCCGGTGTTACGTATTCACATTACCTTGCACTGCCAAGCCAGCCAAACGGATGGCTTGTTCTATGGAGCAAGGGATTCTGCCTTCCAGAACATCCTTCTTTAACTGGAGGTAATACTGATATCTGTAGGGAGGTAGAGGAAGTTGGTTAATCTCATGGTGTGAACAGACGACAGCAGACCCCCTCCATTCAATTGGTCAGTTAGAGATGTGATGTCATACTGTGGTAGGTGAGCACACAGAAAAATCCATAATACTGGACTGAGTTGCTCAATGCTCAGTACCGGAGTAACTAAGGCAGTAGAGGAATTCTCTGATAAGGTACTGAGTATGACAAATTCCATTCCCTACATTCCATTCCCTTCTCCCGTCACTCACTACCTTTGACTGATCCAATAGGAATGGATAAATAAAATCAATATGGTGGGAACTATGTGGCTTAGAGTTAACCAGGGAATACATGAAGGAGACAACGTTTTGGCCTGAGAAGCAGCCTGAGCGAGTGTCTAGTGTCCCTCTGTGTTAAGCGTATATCTGACCTGGTGATCTCCTGCTGCAGCTGGCCCACAGTGGGCACGTAGAAGACCACCCCAAAGTAGACAGTGGGCTCCAGGCCGTACTTGTCCAGCTGCTTCTTCAGGGGCTTCTCCAGGTCAATCCATCGTTGCTGATTCTGCTTGTTGAAGTACCACAGGCTGAAGTATGTTATCTAGGGTGAGGAGGAAAGGAAATGTGGGGCGTTAATGGGGGAAACAGGAAGCACAGACTCTCTTGAAAGATGAGGGGATTGTGAAATCGTTACTTGTAATTTACATGAAAGTCATATGGTATATTCTGGTTTACAATGACAATAGCTTACCTTGCATTTCCTACACTAAATTATAGAAGACTTAACATGTTTGTGCTTCCTTCCTCATAAACATGCCGATACTACTAAACATAGCTTTTACTCATCTGAAACATTCATCTTGACCCACAAGCCCAAAGGAAAGGTACAGGCTGCTGTGCTGCTGCCACTCCCTGCTCAGTCTTGTGACTGTCTGCTGGAGTGGAGCAGTGTGCATCACACAATGAACAGTGGTTCTGGAGTTGACATGTATTGTTTATGATGAAGGGAGTCTGGCCACAAGGCTCACAGTGTGATTGCGCCTACTACAATTATAATATTGCTAACCCATTTACGTCTGAATAACGTCTATTTGGAGTGTTGGATTGCATATCAGAAATCACTGCTAGGCCATTTAAACCATCCGCTATTGCAAAAGTTCACGGTAAACATCCTCGACATCTGTGAGAGAAAACATGACATTCCAACAAAGAGCCTATAGTGGAGATTCTCTGAGGGCAAAACAGTCAGGCCAAAACATAAGATACTAGTTTACAGATTATGAAAGCATTTCTATTTCAAATAGACATTTCCTATATACTGTATGGTATCAGACCCTGCAACTGTGTGGCCATAGGTTTATTTCAGTGCCCTGTCCTATAGTCTTTCTGTCTATCTGACTGCTCACTGACTAACCGGCTCCCTCCTGCGTGACCATCCATGCCTGAAGTTCCTCCACTCCATTCATTTCATTTCAGTCATTTAGCAGACGCTCTTATCCAGAGCGACTTACAGGAGCAATTAGGGTTAAGTGCCTTGCTCAAGGGCACATCGACAGATTTTTCACCTAGTCGGCTTGGGGATTAGAACCAGCGACCTTTCGGTTACTGGCACAACGCTCTTAACCACTAAGCTACCTGCCGCCCCATAACCACTTCAAGTCCTCAATCCATCATTTAACCGCTTCCAGTCCCTAACTTACGTTGTATTTGTTGTAGTTTGTTATGTGCTTTTGTATACGCAATTCAGCTGCCATATATATATTTAAAATATATATATATATATATATATATATATATAATATATATATGTCATTATCAAAAAGTGATTTATGGACTAATTTATGGACAAGCAAGGTTATCCTCTAGTCTAGGCTTCACAGTTTGGACAAAATCCCAATGAATAGAGAAGCCATCGAGTCAGATTCTGATGCATACTGAATCACAGCATGGGTGTGTCCACTGTGTGTCCCTAGCAGAGGTGTGTCCACTTGACCTGTGCATGTTTGGCACAGTGTATCACCACTACTAGACCTTTGTGACTGAATAATGACTCTGTCCATGTGGAATGCCTTTGGCTGAAACTAATTATTCTTTCCATACACTCAAGACAATAGCATAAGTTCTAGGTTTCTGATAGTCATGTCATTATAAAACAATCAGGTATGTTGGAGAACAGCTCATAGGCCATGATAGCCTAACCTTAGACTGAATGGCCACCCACTTGAGATGAGTAATCACAAACACAAAGGACAACAATCAGTGTTTCTGTTGTTTTGCCTGAGCATACATACCTCTCTTAACTCCAGTCTCTGTGCAACTGCCTCCAAACATTCCTGGCCGGTGCTCTCCACAGAAAGCGTAAACTCAACAAATTCACCATTGAGTAGCTGAATACGCGTGACCAGACAGCTCTTGCTTGAGACAGTATACCTTCGAGTTCTTTTGAGTTTTAAGCCGAATGGCAAGGGCATGTTTCAAAGTCCTTTGGCAAGGAGTCCTTCCTTGATCCAGAAATATGTGTCCTGTTGTCTCTTTAAACTTTGCCCGTCAAAATGTGAGTGGATAAGAGGCCATCCATACATTGGATACATGTATCCCTGCGAAAAGAGAAAGAGACAAATTGTTATTAAATAATACATTATTCATAACTAACACACATTTTCCACATAATATTTTCCAGACAAACATAGCCTAACTGATGATAAATGTGAAATCTCAACATAAGCAACATAGTATTACATGTTGTGTAGAATCACCTAATTTAGTTCTGGAGAGCAACAGGGTGTGCAGGCTTTTAGTGATCAACGTCGATAAATTGATTCAGTTGTGTAGTGTGTTTGGCTGGAACAAAAGCCTGCAATCCCTGACCACCAGTGACTACTGGACGAGGTAACCAATATCAGAACATTAAACAGATGCCCTTTAAAGAACAACACAGTTTATTGGTCATCTTGGTTACCCAGAAGTAAAATTCTCGCAAAATTGAATCTGTCCTTGAGATTAGTTTATTGGTAATCCATTTAGCTAGTTAGACAGGGAGCATCTGACTTCTTGGTGCAAATCAGTCAGTGATTTTAGAATGTGCTGCGATAACTCTGTAGCGTGCAGATGGCAATGGTTCTCCATCCGAAAGTTATCAGTAGGACACTTTCATTACACTGGAATAACAGATCAACATTGATTGTTGACAGTGCAGTGATCTCCAGATTTAGCTAAACTAAAGTTGCTTGTTACAAAGAGATCAACGACTTCTGCTAATACGTAACATTCTATTACAATGTTTAATACAGGTTAGATGGTATAGACGGACAGTCTCCATCAGATATCAGCATCTTATTTGACGTTAGCTAGCTAGATAACGTTAACTATAGCTAAATTAGCACGTTAGCTAGCTGACTAACTAGGCTTGCTAATTTAGCTAGCTAACTTGGCTAGCTCATTGACCCTATCGACGTTAGCCAACAAGCTAACTTCAGTTGAAGCAACACGTTACTCGGGTTAGATGAAACATAAACACTCTTTTAAACATACCAATACGGTTATAAATCAGAGAAGCTTCAAAAATAGCCGAAACTTGTAGCTAAGTATCCAGTTAGCTGGCTAGCTACAAACTAGATAGTACTATAGCTAATTAGCATGTAGACTAGCATAGCTAACGTGAACGTCGTAGGCGTCAAAACGGGCTCTTCTCTCCAGGCATCACCCAACAAAATCCCTGTAAATAGCTAGCTAGATAGCTGACATTATCACTGTTACCTTATTGATGTCCGCCAAAAGCAAATGAGTCCATTCGTAAATTGTGCATATCCAAAGCTGCCACCAGTCATAATAGGTGATATCTATGTCCAATATAAAACAAGTTTAGTTTGTGTTTCAAGTTTAACCTCCATCATGCCTAAATCAGCCAACGTGCTTCACTTCCTACCGAAAGAGCATCAATCTCGAACTACATCTGCTGATCTACATTCTACTCGTTAACACAACTCTTATCCTATAATTTTATTTAAATGCACAAACAAAACTATGAACAATAAAATAATTCAGGTCCACTAGCTATGGTTTCATCGGCTGTATTCCTTATAGAAGTTTGAGTAGTTCCTCAACAATAGCGTAATACACGGCAGATTTTGATGCCATGACATCATACAGCTGGAATGCCAGGAACAGAAATGGGACAGCTGCCTCCCTGCTTATGACTACCTTATTCAGCACCATTACTGCAAATCTATAGTTATGCTCATATTGTACTCATTTGTGAACTGTCAGTTTAATTACTTCATGCCAGGTTGCTGTAAAATAATTGTGTAATACTGTCCCACTAGGACAGAGCTGAGACAAGTTCACTTTTGTGCAGAGTTCATAACAAAACATTTTATTGTAAACATGAAAAACACTGCCAGTCACAGTGCCTTGATTGAAATTATATTAGGGGAAATTAATTTAATAAAATAACTGCTTTCCTAGATTACTCACAGATGCACCCTCTTATTTGAAATGAATAGGCTAGATAATGAGCAAAACACTGATAAATATAAAGTACAAAATACATTTCTGGTCTAGTTCCTTCTAATCACTGTAACAATAATCCAAATATATATTGGTCAATACTTTGTACTGTAAATCTCCATGGCAATGGTGCCCAGAACAGGAATAGGCAAAAAGTATGAAATATACCTATCAGCTCCCATTTATAAAACACATTTGAGATGCAAAAACCTCAATATCAAATTGCTCTTATCGAAAATAGTCTCCTTTGACTACAAAGCTCACTAAACTCATCCCTAAAATACTAATAAAATCAGAACTCATCATCACTGAAAGAGGCTAATGTGTTTATATTCTCAGTGACTACTGGCCCTGGGGAATCAGGTGCATTGGAAACATGCAATGACTCGGACAGATATCTCTCGAGATCTTCCAGCTCTTTGGATAGTCCACCATGATTGTCTTCTTGGTTTTGATTGTGGTCCTCCTCGAAGGTCAGAAGGGTGTTTTCACCAAGTGAAGGAGGAAAGTAATTTTCCCTGTCATGATTGTGCTCATCCAGGCCCTCTGCACCTCCATCAGCATCGGGTGAACCAACAGGCAGACTGACAGAGTCAGTCCTCTCAGGAGGAGGGCTACCATATAACGGTGTGGACATTGACAATGGAACGACATTCTCCAGCCCACCACTGTCCTGGTTAAACAATGCATTGGGAAAAAGGTCATTTTCCTCTTTGGTTTCTGATGGTGCTCCTCTGTCCAGAGACTCCAGAACCTGCAGATGACTATGATGAAGGTCAATATCTGTCTCCTCACCATTCTCAGGCTCTGCACTAAAGGTAGGTGTGTTGGCTGGACTTTGCAAGTCATTACGCAGAGTCTCCAGAAGGTGGCGCATTTTGTCCTTAAAAATAACAAAAACAGTTCACTATGACCCTGACAGATTTCAAGTACAGAACATATCAGCTTGTTTGGTTCTCGCTGTGCCATTTTGTATGTAGCATTAGTGTAAAAAACATGCTGCCAGTGCAGATGGCCATGTAAAGTTTAGACACTCACCTCATCTAATAGATGTTTATTTTTGTCAATGTGACGTTCAAACACCCGCTCTAAGACCCTTTGGAAGGAGAATAAATTAGTATGAATACCTACACGTGGTAACACATTCATATTCAGTGACACACAGGCTGCGTTTACACAGGCAGCCCAATTCTGATAGTTTTTCCCACTAATTGGTCAATTGACCAATCGCATGAGATCTTTTAACGTCAGTTCTTTTTCAGAACTGATCTGATTGGTCAAAAGACCAATTAGTGAAAAAAATATCAGAATTGAGCTGCCTGTGTAAAAGCAGCCAGAGAGCAGTGCAGCAACGTTGGATGCCAACCGCCGATAAACCCCACTGAAGAAGAAGAATGCAGCAACGTTAACATGCCCCCTATTACAGGTTTCATCAGGTGGGATTATTACAAATATCAGAGGCCATCACTTGTGACTTATAGCCTAGCATAAATACCAGATAAGGTGCTAGCTAAAAGGTCTCATGTCCTGAGAAAAACAGTTAATATAAAAGTGACATACCTGTCAGAGTACAGGCCCCTGGACAAGATCTCATTTGTTACATCAGCAATAAATTCAAGGTACATCAATTCTTCCTCTCTGTAGAGAAAGGAATGGTAAGTCTGAATGGTTACTTTACAGGGAAACTACATAAGTGAGACTGCTTGGAGCTGCTAGGGTTCAGCAGTAATCATTAATTTATTATAGCAGCCTATTTCACACTTTATCATCTTTTCCTATATTTATAGAAAAGTAGTGATTAAAGGTGACAAGGTTAAAAAATGCTTCTTACTCTGCAGACACCCTCTTCATGATAGGAGATTTCATTCCTTCTGGTGAAACCCTGGAAGAAGCCAATTAAGACAAAATACATACTTTTTCACAAGAAGCACAGGTACAATACCACAGCATATACAGTCTGAAACCAGTATAAACATTACCTGAATGAGGAATGGAAGTGATCACTGCTTCCGCTCTTGTTTCCCTTGCTTCGTCGTCCAAATGCTGACAGATTCAGTGTATGGGACTCATCGTCTGCATCCGACCACTCATGCTCTGTACCATGACCCTATAATAACAGAGACTGAACAATTAATTCTGTTTTAAATCAGGCTCCATGTGTTTAATTAAGCTGTATAATATGTATAATTTGCTCTAAATTTGTTTAGTTGTTTAAGAGTTTGTTTCCTTATTTAGACCAGAGTTGTTGACTCTGCATCTGAAATATTATAGTCACTCCAATAACATTGACCTTGCAGAACAGCTAGTGTAATTGACCTCTCTAAATTTGAAAGAGTATTTTATTGGATGCCGTTCCTTGCTACTCCAAGCCAAACCAGGCTGTCAATATGATGAATGCTGGCTTAGTCATCTCCACCTTATGGCAAGACCTTGGCACTGCATCCATATCAATCATATTTGTCTCAATTCTCAGCCAATCCTACTTCTTGTCTATCATCTCCTTAGCATTTCCAAACACCACTTAAATCTAATTCTAATGTATGCTGATCTTGCATTGTCTTTCATTTGTGGTAGGTGCTCATGAATTACTTCTCTTTTTACTTCCTCTATTCACACTACTGTCTCTCAATATAACAGCAAAAAAATCAACTAATTCTACCACACTTTTTCCCTGACTATATCCTATAATACTGCAATATGTTCTTCCAGGAATGAATGGTTTAATCCAACTTGCCTGGGGTGGATCATCCCATTCAGCCGATGAGCATTCCTTGGTTCGTGTGCTGCAGGAAAATAAACAGGATTCAGGATATTGTCTGGACTACCTGCTGTGTGCGAATGTTGAGCATGCTCATCTTATTAGATCTTGTTCAAAGGTGAAACAATTATATGAAAGGATGTTAAGTAGCCAATCATCCTGTCTACATCTCTTTCTTTCTCTCACCTCATTCACACATACAGAAAAATAAGACACCTGTGCTGTCAAAGACAGGGCAACACGTTACCTTCCATGATAGGTGTCCTGCCGTGTCAGCCTGGGGATGCTCCTCTCCTGGTCCTGGGCTGGTTTACTGCGAGGAGGTGTGTAGTAGCGATACTGAGACAGATAGGACCTGCTGTCTGACTTCAGAGTCCTGGGAGTGAAGGGCTTGTCCTGGGTGAAGCGGTGGCTGTGTTTCTGAATCAGGTCCCCACTGTAGGTCTTCTGGACAGGGTCTTGAAAGGCCTTGTAGCCACTCTGGGTACTTGTGGTGGCGCAGGAGTGGGCTGGTTGCTGCCTCTGGGAGTTTGGGCTCCTATAGCTGTACTCTGATGCACAGTGGAAGAAGTGCGGGGGGCTCCCAGACCCACCGACTGTTTGGGACGGGTAAACTATTTGCTTGGCGTGAAAGGAGGTGTTGAGTCTTGGAGTGGAAATCTTTGAGCTTCCCAGGTAGAAATATGCATTTTCTTGACCTGCTTCGCTCTGGAAGGCAAGAGAGCCATCATTAAAATCAATACAATAATCTTTACCATATATTTCCATGTAATATTGCACCCTTATAATGACGGTGTGACTGCCAGTGTACACTTCAATAATTATTTAAAATGAGGTGAATAAGATAACTAAACTACATACAGTAATAGGGCTGAAATCACAGCAGTGGCTTCTTCTTACTTGGGTATTTTGTGATGGGCAGGAGGCTTTGGTGTTGGCTCTGCTGCTCCTCTGTGAGTGTGAGCCAGCTGACTGAGGACGTCTATCAGACCTGGATGCATCTTTCCTCAACTGCTCCCGCCGTAACTGGTCAATGTCTGTGAAGGTACACACAACAATGATCAACTAAATCAGATCATATAGCCTATGTGTGATTTATTTAGATTTTGTGATAGATTTCAGACGTAAAAAAATAAGCTTACATTTTACACTGCTTAGCATACTTTTGGGTACTGATGCATCAATGGCAGCTGAAAGACATTGGCAGACAATATTTATATCGATAACCAAAGTCAACGTATGATTGAAATTCTAGAGGACACACAAGTTATTTTACTTCACCGGTTGTATCCCTTACCTTTAGCTGAATACACCTTTTTGTAATGGGACACCATATGGTCTTGAATAATGTACTGAGTTAGTCTGCTCGACGACCGAGGGCAGAACGCTGTAAACACAAGACAAACATTTTTATTGAAGCAAGTAAACACATATCACCCCTGTGTGGTGTGGAGCTGTATGTTGAGGTGTACATTACACTGTACACATTCTTATAGCCTAATACTTACGGCTGCTTTTTAAACTCATCTGTCCTCTGGGTGGAGTCAGACTGTGCCCTGGGCCAGGCGATGCATTACCTAAAAGTGAATTTGTTTGTTAGCTAGTCAATGTTAGTTAACGTTGGTCAAAGGAGTGCTTAGCAGTTAGTGGGAGGAGTAATGTAATATTCAACCTCTCCCTATCCCAGTCTGTTGTCCCACCTGCTTCAAGAGGTCCACCATTGTTCCCGTACCCAAGCAAGCTAAGGTAAATGAACTGCTTTGAGAGGCTAGTCAATGACTATATCACCTCCACCTTACCCGACACCCTAGACCCACGTCATGTATAGAGACATTGAACATTTCTCACTTCACATACTGTTGTTTACTCACTGTGCAGGGTTCTCCCCAAAGAACGTGGACTGGCTGCGCCACTATGTATTTTTAAAAATCATATCATTATCATATAAGGCCATTTTTTGTCCTAGATTGCAGGAAATGGCAGTTACAGGTGTTCAAAAACGCACTGTATATACCATTTTATTTTCCAAATTATATACTGTCGTCTATACACATCACGTATTTATATTTATTTTCTGGATTCTAACACTGCTTTATAATTTATCTACTTGGGTTGTTAATTGGACTTGTTCAGAAATGTCTTGATTTCTTGTTTCATTAATCACCGTTTTCATTTCTCCTTTTTAACTCATTGAGTAAAAGGAGTTTCATAAGGAGGCTCATAAGAATGTTGCCAGATATACAACCAAAATGGTTTTACAGATGCTGGATGAGGAAGCCATTGGTGCCTCTGACTCAGAATCTGAGGTATCCAATTCAGATGACACAGACTATGTGCCTGTGGGTCAAGTTGGAGTTGTGGATGCACCTGGTAGTCCAGCTGTCCTAGATGATTCTACAGATGGGGAGGACTCCTCTGAGGAGGAGAGTGAAAACCAGTCAAATAGACTGAGTAAAAAGGGGTCTTACTGGAGTGAACACCCCCCCCCCCCCCCCCCCACTAAAGGCAGGACCAGAAGCCATAACATCCTGAGGAGCTGCCCTGGGCCTGTGCCAGGGTCAACAGTTGTGCCACCAAAAGATGCCTGGGAGCTGTTCATTAGTGACAACATCATTGAGGAGGTCCTAAAGTGTACAAATTTAGAAGGACGGAGAACAGCGACAGCAAAAGGGAAAGAGTGGAGAGAGGTCAACAAAGAAGAACTAAAGGCCTTTATTGGTTTAACCCTCCTCGCCGGTGTGGAGAAAAGCTGGGATGTCTCCACATGGGAGCTATTTTTGGATCCACTGCAGAATCCAATGTATATGGCCACCATGTCGGTCGGAAGATATCCGTCGCTACTTGAGGCTTGATGACAAGAGGACCAGAGTGTTCAGAGAGGCAACAGACCACCTGGCAGTCTTCCGGTATTACATTTACATTTTACATTTTAGTCATTTAGCAGACGCTCTTATCCAGAGCGACTTACAGTTAGTGAGTGCATACATATTATTATTTTTATTTATTTTTTCATTTCATACTGGCCCCCCGCGGGAATCGAACCCACAACCCTGGCGTTGCAAACGCCATGCTCTACCAACATCCCTGCCTGCCATTCCCTCCCCTACCCTGGACGACGCTGGGCCAATTGTGCGCCGCCCCATGGGTCTCCCGGTCACGGCCGGCTACGACAGAGCCTGGATTCGAACCAGGATCTCTAGTGGCACAGCTAGCACTGCGATGCAGTGCCTTAGACCACTGCGCCACTCGGGAGACTACTCGGGTATGTGTGGGACCTTTTCCTAGCAAACTGTAGAGGAAGATTCATCCCCAGCGACTGCGTCACAGTAGATGAGCAGGTTTCCTCCAGACGTGACGCTTGGCATTCCGGCCAAAGAGTTAAATCTTGGTTTCATCAGACCAGAGAATCTTGTTTCTCATGGTCTGAGAGTCCTTTAGGTGCCTTTTGGCAAACTCCAAGCGGGCTGTCATGTGCCTTTTACTGAGGAGTGGCTTCCGTCTGGCCACTCTACCATAAATGCCTGATTGTTGGAGTGCTGCAGAGATGGTTGTCCTTCTGGAAGGTTCTCCCATCTCCACAGAAGAACTGAGGCAATGGAAAGATGTGGGGTGATGAAAGAGAGCCATGTCACCACCACTCAGAGGAGCCAGGGCCAGAAGAGGTTCCAGCTCTGCCCAAGCACAAAGGATAGAAAAGTCAGCTGCTGGTGTTCTCAGTGCAACACACCCGTCTACAAAGAGCACTGTCACATGCTTGTGGTTTGTAACAAATGCATGGACTAAGACAGCATAAGTAAGCATGACACACACACTCACATGTATTATAGTTGAATATATAACTGCTATG